CACACACACACACACACACACACACACACACCTCCTCTGTCAACCCAAAGGGTGGAGTGCGTCTTTTGAAGACGCACACAACCACAATCCCTGAAGGAAGAGGTTGAGAAAAGGATTTAAAGTCAACAATGCATTTTGAATCAAGTTAATCATTAGGCTAAATGTTATAGGCTATACAAAATTGGCACTGTAATGTAAAGTGTTACTTTTTATACTCCTATCTGGTAAGTTTCCAATAATTTGCAGTACATGTTGCGAATGCACAATGATGTAAGTTGTCTGAAGGAGGTGGGCATGTAGAAACCCGGGTGTTTTGTGGATGTCTCCGCAGTCATGCAGGTTTCGCGGATCCGCGCGGCACGTAAAATTGAGTGGCTCAGATGCGCGCTAACGCACCACTTCAGCCCAGATCCCTGCGTGGAAAACGAGATCGTGGTTTTGGCCATCGGAGTGGACCAGTATCTCCAGGAGGTGTTTCATCACCTCGCCGTTTACCACGGTGATGACCTCGTCTCGAATGAGGACTTTAGGAGTCTGTGTTTGATTTTGGGGATCCCCGCGAGCGCAGAGACCGAGAACGGCACCTCAGAGCACCGGGATATTTGCGACGGACTTCCTCTTGTGCTGAACTTTAAAGACTTTCACGCACGGCTTTGTGGGTTTTTCTCGCTAAAAGCGCAGGAAGGACAGACGGGAGTTCGACTTCCGGTCAGCGAGGAGACCGAGCACATCGAGCGGGAGATCAGGCTCCGGTGTCCCCGCGTCCGGAGGAGAAAGTGCGTCAGGTTTGATCTGTCTGCCGACCAACAGAACCGGAGGAGGTCAGCGAGGAGATCCGGACCCTCTCAGAATCCGGATCATTTGCAGAGCTCTGCTGTGGAACCCAAAAGAAACGCAGGTAGGCACACACACACACACACACACACACACACACACCTGAGCTGTCAGGACAGGTGGACTAATGTAACAAGCTGTATTTTTCCATCCAAAAACTCAAGCCTTAGGGGACGTTTTTAGCCTTTAATGATGAATAATGAAGATGTATTTAAGGGAGATTTATGAGTGTCTGTGCCATAAAACAAATGCATATTGCATAAACAGCTTCTAAATGATAATAATCCAAATAAACTTCACTGATTTATTTATTGATCATATTTCATACAAGTTTAAAATCTTTTAAAAACAAGTACAAAATGAATTTATAGGAATATACTAATAATAAGTATATATTATATTTATAATTTAAGTAATAAGTTATATTTACACAATTAATGTTTAAAATAACCGATCAGTAAATAATTTCTAATTTCTCTGAATTCATTTGAAATTTTCTAACATTGCAGTGTTGAATATTGCGAGGAGATCCGGACCCTCTCAGAATCCGGATCATTTGCAGAGCTCTGCTGTGGAACCCAAAAGAAACGCAGGTAGGAGCCGCACACGCACACACACACACACACACACACACACACACACAGTTGTGTTTCTATGTTTTATGGGGACATTCCATAGGCGTAATGGTTTTTATACTGTACAAACTGTATGTGCTATTGCCCTACACCAACCCTACCCCTAACCCTACCCCTCACAGGAAACTTTGTGCTATTTCAGATTAAAACAAATGCATATTGCATAAACAGCTTCTAAATGATAATAATCCAAATAAACTTCACTGATTTATTTATTGATCATATTTCATACAAGTTTAAAATCTTTTAAAAACAAGTACAAAATGAATTTATAGGAATATACTAATAATAAGTATATATTATATTTATAATTTAAGTAATAAGTTATATTTACACAATTAATGTTTAAAATAACCGATCAGTAAATAATTTCTAATTTCTCTGAATTCATTTGAAATTTTCTAACATTGCAGTGTTGAATATTACTGTAACCCTCAAAGAACCCAACTTTTATTAAAACTAAAAAAGTAGTAAGTTAATGTTAAAGAACAATCATCATCATCTTCATAATAAAAATGTCATTTAATTATAATAAATATGACTTTACACATATAAGAACATAATATTTTAATTATATTGTATTACATTATAATAAAAAATAAAACAAATACTTATCATATTTATTAAACAAATATAACATTATGTATTAATAAATAATTGTATTATAATAATTATATAATATTTAACATGTATGTCTTATTTTATATTACACAATTGTTAAAATAGTTGATTAATAAATAATTTATAATATCTATGAATCATTTTGAAAGCAAAAAGCTGTGTTTTTTGTTGTGTTTAGTCCAATGGTGGACGAAGTACACAAATCAAGTACTTGAGTAAAAGTACAGATCCGTATAATAAAATATTACTCCAGTAAAAGTAAAAGTACTCAGTTTTCAATTTTACTCAAGTGAAAGTACACAAGTACTTGATTTTTTATGTACTTAAGTAAAAAGTACCGATAGATGAATGTTTATTTTGCAGTTTTATATAGGCTACTTTTATCATTTAATTTTATATTAGCATATATTTTTTTATAATCCTACTGCTCAAAATACCTGGGATTTTCCCAAAATAACCAATAAGGAAATAATGAATATAATAAGGAAAATATAATTATATATTCATAATGATTTTTTTCTTCTCAAACCTTGTCTGTGGTGTAAAAACACCCCTGGCCAAATGCCCCCAGAGGGCATCACTTCCCACTTTGATAATTACTGTAGTTGCCATGTTCTGAACATCACATCTTTTCTTTTTCCCTCAGATGTAATCTATCTAGGTGGTTGAATAAAAATATTTGGACTTCATTTTTTTTTTAATTACCTAAATTTAGCACCAGCAAGTTCGTTAGCTAGACAGTTAGCATCAGCTAACATTGACTTATTTTCAGCATGGTTATGAATAAACATTTATATTTGTCTACTCGGCTAGTTGATCCAGATACATAGTAACTTAGGCTATGTGTGCTGACAAACAACATAAAAACAGACGTCACCATGAATCAGACACCGCTTCTGCATCTCGGAGCACATGACATATTATAAGGAGTAACTATAAGTTTTATGAAATGTAGTGAAGTAAAAAGTACGATCTTATGCTTTGGAATGTAGTGAAGTAAAAGTAAAAGTTACTCAAAATAAAACTACTCCAGTAAAGTACAGATACTTGAAAAATGTACTTAAGTACAGTAATGAAGTAAAACTACTTCGTTACTGTCCACCATTGGTTTAGTCATTACTGAAGACCCTATTTTTACTGTATTGCAGTGGATATTAACCCTCAGAGGAGATGGCAGGACCAGCTGGAGCTGGAGAACGCCAGTCTGAGGGAGCTGGTGGAGGACTTGCGTTCTGCCCTCCAGAGTAGCGACGCGCGGTGTTTGGCACTGGAGGTGGCCTTATGCCGAAAAGACGTGCCGTCCCAACATACTGCTGGAGGAACCCCTGAAAAACAGGACTGCAAAACAAAAACACAACAATCCAAACACATGGAATGGGACTCCAGAAGAAGCACTAAAGACCTCCTACGAGAGCTGGAACTGATCCGTGCTTCTCGCGATGGACAGCTGGAGGAAGCCATGCGGTTTAACCAGAGGTTAGAGGAAGAGCTGATGGCGGCTTATGGAGAGATTAGCAGGATGCAGGAGATGCTGGACAGCGTCCGGACGGAAAACACGCGGATTAAGAAGAGGACAGAAGAGGTCAGAGAGTCACTGGCCACAGGGCTGGAGGGTGTGAGGACCTTACAAGACCAGGCTCGACAAGCTGACCTGCTCCGAGAACAAGTCCAGAGTCTGGAGAGCCAGCTGGAGAAGTTCAGGTAGAATTTTTATTTATCTCATACTATAATTTCAGTCACACACATGCAGGTAAAGAAGTTTGGGATCAGGGGTGTATTCCAGAAAGCACGGTTAACTTACCATCAGCTAAACCCTGAACTTTCGGTTGATTAACCCCAAACCTTGCTTTCTCGAGGTATGTGGTTCCAAAACCGCATCCGGGAGTAAGTTCATTCAGCTCAGAGTATGTTCCTGGTTAAGACTCAAGACATTCTCAACAGAGTGACGAATCGACGAGTCGCTATGGAAACGGACGCGCCATGATGTTTCTTTCTTCTTCTTTTGTTCAATGGTCGTTTACATGCTTAGTGCATATCGCCACCTAATTGATGGTTGTGCAATCATTTTTATTTTTTTTCTGTTTAATCTTTAATCCTTGAGAATATGAATTATATTGTTTGTTTGATGCTAATTATATATTAAGTCATATCAGATATGTATTTTGATTTAGAATTTAGACATTATAGAAAATGCTGATCCATGTGTGAGATGATAATATAAAATGTAATAAATACATATATATAATATAATAAATGAAATATTACCTTGTCATAGTGTTTTAGAATTTATACAGATAACTGTTATATATCCCAATAAAATAAATATAATAACCATATTAGAATAATATATTACCTTATTTATTACTTATATTAGCGCTTCCTCATTAACATATCATACAAATATATATATATATATATATATAAAATAGGCTATATTACATATTGTAATATTATATAATGTTGTACGCTATCTGTCACGCCCACTGAAGGCTCGTCAGTAGATCACACATGCGCTGATAGCGCTGAAGTGAATTAACCCTGGAACATAACCTGCTCCGGAGCAGATTATCTTCAGAGAGAGAGCAGGTTATCTTCAGAGAGCAAGTTACTATAGTTACTTACATACCCTGAAAGTAACCTCTGATTTTGGAACCGAAAGCTGAGGTTATCCGCTCACTTATCCTCAAACATACCCGGTTATGTCACATAAAGTGCTTTTTGGAATACCCCCCAGTAGTGTTTTTGTTTTTGTTGTTGTTGAAATATTAAATTAATAATTTTATTCATCAAGGATGTATTAAATTGATCAGTAAAGATTTATAATGTTAGAAAAATAATGAAATAATGAAGGGCTTTACATTCAAAACAGAATCCTAATAACAAATGTATCACAGTTTCCACTAAACTATATAGTTAATACATTTTATACATAATGCATTTTTTTGAGCATCAGATCAGCATAACAGAATGATTTCTGAAGGATCATGCACTGAAGACTGGAGTAATGATGCTGAAATTTCAGCTTTGCGTCACAGGAATAAATGACATTTTCAAATATATTCAAATAGAAAACAGGTTAAATTATAATAATATTTCACAATGTTACAGTTTTTACTGTATTCTTGATCAAATAAATGCAGCCTTGGTGAACATAAGAGATTTCAATGTTCAAAAACATTAAAAAATCTTAACAAACCCAAACTTCTGAACAGTGTTTGTGAATTCATAGTTTGTCCAAGTATGAGAATTCTGCTATCTTACACTCATTCTCACGTTCGTAACTATTTTTGTCCATCACATAAAAGTCAGTGGGGTCAAAAACAACACTAAATCACTGTGTCTTGTGTATGTGTATGGAGCCAGATCGGCCTCAAAAATAATACATTTATAAAACAAAATTCATGAATTCACAGCACAATTTACATTTACAAAATCCGATTCGTACATTCAAACACAATTCATAAATACAGAAGTAAAAGCATAAATATTTCCCCAAATGCTCACACAAAAGCATCTTACCTAAATAAATTTAAAATGTTTACACAAATATGTATATATCAAGTTCTTGAATTAATTTCCATCACACATTTATGAATGATGTTACATGTATTTATGGATCGTTGAATCTGCATTTGCAAATCATCACACATGTGTAAATGTAAATTGTGCTGTGAATTTATGAATTTTGTTTTATAAATGTATTATTTTTGAGGCCGATCTGGCTCTATATTTGTGTTCCACAAGGAAAGAAATGCATATATGGAATGACATTTTCATTTTTGGGTGAATGATCGCTTTAAAGCAGCACTATGTAACATTTGGCGCTCTAGCGGTTAATAAACAGAACTGCACACATCCCGCGGAAGAACATTCCAACCGGAGCTACTTCTCTAAGTTTATGTCTATGGCGATTCACGCAGGTAAAAAGTTACATAGTGCTGCTTTAAGAGCTTTTTTTAATTAAGATGAATTTACCTAATTTTTTTATTGGTTGTCCCCTTTTCAAACTGGAATTTCAAACAAAGTTGAATAATTTAAATTCATAAAAGATTATACAAAGAACCACTTCAGTGTTCACTTCAGGCCCTAGTCGACCATGTAGACCGCCTAGGACAGGACTTTTCTAAGACTCAGAGCAGACCACAAGGGCGTTCCGAGATGAGAAGCCATAATCAACAGAAAATCTTGCATAATTAAGATCTTTACCTGCATTGATGCTTTAGTGTTGATGAGTCAAGAAGCAGCGCTTGGCTAGGAAACAGTTTGGACAGGAGCAGCATTGCAGGGCTTGTCGCAGACATGACTGATTTTCCCTTGACAGATGTTAATGACCTGCTTTAATAACACAGGACAGCACAGTTTCCTGCAAATGGTTATTAGTCATTCGCTTTCAAGTGTGAGTATTACAGCAAATCACACAAAGCCCCTATTACAGCATCTAACTCTACATGTCTTATTATATCCTGTGAGGAAGCATATAGGGTCCAGACACATGTTTAAGCGGGTGTGTTGGACAGTCAGAGATTAAAGACGTTTGTGGTCAGTGAGTTTTACAGTGCTGTTTCATTTGTCTCTATCTATGAACATAATAATTAAGAAATGTCTGAAAAGGACAGAGAAATTAAAGCCACAAAATACTTCACATCTGTTAGTATCTATCTGTATTTCTACAAACTAAAAAGGTTATGTAAATCATATTAAATTAACAATGCATAAACTTTAACAGGGAATGTGTAATTTTAGCACCACTATTGCATCACCAAGCACAATTGCAAAAATAATTGTAGCATTAGAGCAAAGAGAATTGACATATTTCTGAATTCAAAATGCCAGTAAGAAATAAAACAATATATGTTGTTATTTATTATCATAATTATGTTTTAATAAATAAACACGTATGGATGTAATAATACATACAGTACATATTTATTGTATTTTAATTGTAGAGTAGAGAATAAACTTATTTTTGAACTAATAATACGAAATAACAACAAGTAATAATAAGAAGAAATAACCAATAAGACAAATATTCATAATTTTAAGTTTAAATTAATTGATAAGATGACTCAGAGCAAAAACGATGTCTAATTTTACAGTGTAAATTATAAAACTTAAACAGGATATGTGTAATTTTAGCACATCAGTTGCAAAAATAATGACTGTTTTTACACAGGTTTCCGGAACACTCCTCTTACTGCAATGCAGTGAGCATTAGAGATTACACAAGCCAAAGTGTTATTTTTAAGTATGAACTAATAATTTTCTTAGAACCATTTCCAAATGCGCTATAAAACTTTAGCTCACATTTACTTTGCAATCAATTAAGTAGATTGTTGGCTTTCAGTCGACGCTTGGAAGATTAATATATGTGTTAATATTTCATTATTTGCATCACAGAGCGGTGATGTAATGCTCATTCCTCACCTGGAAAAGCAGGTCGAAACCTGCCAGGTTCCTGACTCAGAAAATCCACACGCTCTGCTGGGACAATCATCAAACTTGTTCATGCATCAGCAGCACAATAAACGCAGCGTGCTGAACATCCTCTATCAGTTATGTGATATTAAATGTTTTGAGTCCAGACATCTTGACTCATCTGCACAGAAGCTTATTTAATCGTATTTACTGTACTGTATGACTTATTCTTAGGGCCCAGTGCACCTGCCCAGAGCTGAATATGAACAAAACTGAAATGCTAGCTGAACCATGTGGGTCTGGATTTCCCTCCCCCACCAGTCATGATGATGCCAGAAGAGGTAAGATGATCAAAAACCATCATAAACAAGCCAATTTCTCATTCAGAACGTAAGAAATTAAATTTTTTGCAAAGCTGGGTGGAATTTGATTTTACATTTTGCATGCACTATCAGTAGAGCTGTGGATGTGGTCTAAATGGAATTCTGCATACTGCATACTGTGGACTAGCTACTTTTATTTGAATGCATCATGCAAAAAAAATTCAAACAGTATTAAGCTTCACTTTTTTTCATGTGACCTCATCACGTTGCATGTTTAATTCTGCAAGTGCTGTGTAGCATTACCTCAGAAATAAATGCAAAAATAACTAGACAGTTAACATTTTTGAATTAATAATAGTAAAATAAAACAATAACAAAAATATCCATAAATAATGTAATCTAATTTTTAGAGTTTTTAAAAATAATGTCATCTAATTAAAGAATATACATGATTTTACATTTACAGAAACAAACAATATTTTCAATGTATTATATTTCTTTATTTTTTAAATAAATACATAAAACATAATGATTACTAAATTGTATATTTATTTTTTGACATTTGAAAGCAAAAAAGGTAAATTTATTCATTTCTAAAAATAATTTGACAATATACATTATATACTATTTCATAATATAAATAATAAATATAAATTTCAGTGCTAGTGTCACTAGCACTACCATAAAAAAAAAACATAAATAATAACACCTTTTACACAGGGGTCTCTCTAAATGTTCCTTTTATATTTTTCCTCCAGTTTTGTGTAAAAATGTCTTTTTTGATAGCCTAGTAAAATAGTAAGTCAAAAAAGAGATTCATCACACTACAAGTGCATCAATTCAAGGGCATTTCATTGTATGACACAGCTTTCCTAGCAGTTAGCTTTGCTGTATACTTCACATTTTGACAAATCAAAGTATTCCACATTTTTTGTGCACAGTACATACTGCAAAATAGTATGCACACAGGGCATTAAAGACAGTAGTGGTCATGTGACATCTCTGTGCAGAAGAAGACCTGCAGAGGTCAGTAGAGGGTCAGGCAGCATCCGATGAGGAAGAGGAGGAGAGGAGCGTAGATGAAGGACAGTGCTGCCACCTGGAGGTGAAACGGCTGATCAACAGATTACACAGCTGTGCCAAAGGGTGAATATACCTTTGATATCAAAATAAAAAAAAATCTGCATTTTGGCCATGTATTAATTTGACATGTTCACACACTTGTATTCCTCCACAGGTGTCAGAAAGCTGCTATCTGTAACTGGCTTATCTCTCAGAGCTCCGCTCATAGCAAAGACACTAAAGAATGCGTGTGGATTCCTCAAGCGGATGAGAGGGGAAATCAAGCGGGAAAGGTGAGAGTTAAAGAACAATCTATGATCTATGATAATGTAATATCATACACCACATCATCTCTAATGAACGCCTGCCTTCTCTGTCACATGAAGCAGAAAGAGGTGGAGAGTTTGAGAGTTTATCATTCACTGCTGGAGGAGAGACTGACTGATGCACTCACGTTACTGCTGCAGATACCACATAAAGTGAGAACTAGATTCAGAAATAGATTTCTGAGTAAGAAGTGTGTTCTAAGTTGCTTACTGAAGTCAGTGGTATATGGTATGATATATATATTTTTATATTTATTCATAAATATTTAGCATTTTATATGTTATCAGATTTAAACGTTTTATGTGTTTAACTACTTAAAGTCAACTTTAATAAAATTGTATATTAAGTTTGTTTATATCAAATTTTAAATTAATATAAAGATGTATTTAAAATTTATGTTAACATTTTATACTATAAAACTACTTATGGTTTTGTGCCTAAAGAAAACCTTTATTATTTAATGCAGGGATTCATAAACTTTTTTTGTCAGCTGAACCCCTTTAACCAAAAATATTTTCTTAAAGTATCCCCTTAGCTTTTCAGTAAATATTTCAATAATTTAACACATATTAATTAATAATCATTTTAATATTTCAGTAATGTAGTTCTCTGATGTCAGTTAATGGTCACATAACATGTCAGTTTCCTGCAAATGGTTATTAGTCATTCGCTTTCAAGTGTGAGTATTACAGCAAATCACACAAAGCCCCTATTACAGCATCTAACTCTACATGTCTTATTATATCCTGTGAGGAAGCATATAGGGTCCAGACACATGTTTAAGCGGGTGTGTTGGACAGTCAGAGATTAAAGACGTTTGTGGTCAGTGAGTTTTACAGTGCTGTTTCATTTGTCTCTATCTATGAACATAATAATTAAGAAATGTCTGAAAAGGACAGAGAAATTAAAGCCACAAAATACTTCACATCTGTTAGTATCTATCTGTATTTCTACAAACTAAAAAGGTTATGTAAATCATATTAAATTAACAATGCATAAACTTTAACAGGGAATGTGTAATTTTAGCACCACTATTGCATCACCAAGCACAATTGCAAAAATAATTGTAGCATTAGAGCAAAGAGAATTGACATATTTCTGAATTCAAAATGCCAGTAAGAAATAAAACAATATATGTTGTTATATATTATCATAATTATGTTTTAATAAATAAACACGTATGGATGTAATAATACATACAGTACATATTTATTGTATTTTAATTGTAGAGTAGAGAATAAACTTATTTTTGAACTAATAATACGAAATAACAACAAGTAATAATAAGAAGAAATAACCAATAAGACAAATATTCATAATTTTAAGTTTAAATTAATTGATAAGATGACTCAGAGCAAAAACGATGTCTAATTTTACAGTGTAAATTATAAAACTTAAACAGGATATGTGTAATTTTAGCACATCAGTTGCAAAAATAATGACTGTTTTTACACAGGTTTCCGGAACACTCCTCTTACTGCAATGCAGTGAGCATTAGAGATTACACAAGCCAAAGTGTTATTTTTAAGTATGAACTAATAATTTTCTTAGAACCATTTCCAAATGCGCTATAAAACTTTAGCTCACATTTACTTTGCAATCAATTAAGTAGATTGTTGGCTTTCAGTCGACGCTTGGAAGATTAATATATGTGTTAATATTTCATTATTTGCATCACAGAGCGGTGATGTAATGCTCATTCCTCACCTGGAAAAGCAGGTCGAAACCTGCCAGGTTCCTGACTCAGAAAATCCACACGCTCTGCTGGGACAATCATCAAACTTGTTCATGCATCAGCAGCACAATAAACGCAGCGTGCTGAACATCCTCTATCAGTTATGTGATATTAAATGTTTTGAGTCCAGACATCTTGACTCATCTGCACAGAAGCTTATTTAATCGTATTTACTGTACTGTATGACTTATTCTTAGGGCCCAGTGCACCTGCCCAGAGCTGAATATGAACAAAACTGAAATGCTAGCTGAACCATGTGGGTCTGGATTTCCCTCCCCCACCAGTCATGATGATGCCAGAAGAGGTAAGGGGATCAAAAACCATCATAAACAAGCCAATTTCTCATTCAGAACGTAAGAAATTAAATTTTTTGCAAAGCTGGGTGGAATTTGATTTTACATTTTGCATGCACTATCAGTAGAGCTGTGGATGTGGTCTAAATGGAATTCTGCATACTGCATACTGTGGACTAGCTACTTTTATTTGAATGCATCATGCAAAAAAAATTCAAACAGTATTAAGCTTCACTTTTTTTCATGTGACCTCATCACGTTGCATGTTTAATTCTGCAAGTGCTGTGTAGCATTACCTCAGAAATAAATGCAAAAATAACTAGACAGTTAACATTTTTGAATTAATAATAGTAAAATAAAACAATAACAAAAATATCCATAAATAATGTAATCTAATTTTTAGAGTTTTTAAAAATAATGTCATCTAATTAAAGAATATACATGATTTTACATTTACAGAAACAAACAATATTTTCAATGTATTATATTTCTTTATTTTTTAAATAAATACATAAAACATAATGATTACTAAATTGTATATTTATTTTTTGACATTTGAAAGCAAAAAAGGTAAATTTATTCATTTCTAAAAATAATTTGACAATATACATTATATACTATTTCATAATATAAATAATAAATATAAATTTCAGTGCTAGTGTCACTAGCACTACCATAAAAAAAAAACATAAATAATAACACCTTTTACACAGGGGTCTCTCTAAATGTTCCTTTTATATTTTTCCTCCAGTTTTGTGTAAAAATGTCTTTTTTGATAGCCTAGTAAAATAGTAAGTCAAAAAAGAGATTCATCACACTACAAGTGCATCAATTCAAGGGCATTTCATTGTATGACACAGCTTTCCTAGCAGTTAGCTTTGCTGTATACTTCACATTTTGACAAATCAAAGTATTCCACATTTTTTGTGCACAGTACATACTGCAAAATAGTATGCACGCAGGGCATTAAAGACAGTAGTGGTCATGTGACATCTCTGTGCAGAAGAAGACCTGCAGAGGTCAGTAGAGGGTCGGGCAGCATCCGATGAGGAGGAAGAGGAGGAGAGGGGCATGGATGAAGGACAGTGCTGCCACCTGGAGGTGAAACGGCTGATCAACAGATTACACAGCTGTGCCAAAGGGTGAATATACCTTTGATATCAAAATAAAAAAAAATCTGCATTTTGGCCATGTATTAATTTGACATGTTCACACACTTGTATTCCTCCACAGGTGTCAGAAAGCTGCTATCTGTAACTGGCTTATCTCTCAGAGCTCCGCTCATAGCAAAGATACTAAAGCATGCGTGTGGATTCCTCAAGCGGATGAGAGGGGAAATCAAGCAGGAAAGGTGAGAGTTAAAGAACAATCTATGATCTATGATAATGTAATATCATACACCACATCATCTCTAATGAACGCCTGCCTTCTCTGTCACATGAAGCAGAAAGAGGTGGAGAGTTTGAGAGTTTATCATTCACTGCTGGAGGAGAGACTGACTGATGCACTCACGTTACTGCTGCAGATACCACATAAAGTGAGAACTAGATTCAGAAATAGATTTCTGAGTAAGAAGTGTGTTCTAAGTTGCTTACTGAAGTCAGTGGTATATGGTATGATATATATATTTTTATATTTATTCATAAATATTTAGCATTTTATATGTTATCAGATTTAAACTCATAGCAAAGACACTAAAGAATGCGTGTGGATTCCTCAAGCGGATGAGAGGGGAAATCAAGCGGGAAAGGTGAGAGTTAAAGAACAATCGATGATCTATGATAATGTAATATCATACACCACATCATCTCTAATGAACGCCTGCCTTCTCTGTCACATGAAGCAGAAAGAGGTGGAGAGTTTGAGAGTTTATCATTCACTGCTGGAGGAGAGACTGACTGATGCACTCACGTTACTGCTGCAGATACCACATAAAGTGAGAACTAGATTCAGAAATAGATTTCTGAGTAAGAAGTGTGTTCTAAGTTGCTTACTGAAGTCAGTGGTATATGGTATGATATATATATTTTTATATTTATTCATAAATATTTAGCATTTTATATGTTATCAGATTTAAACGTTTTATGTGTTTAACTACTTAAAGTCAACTTTAATAAAATTGTATATTAAGTTTGTTTATATCAAATTTTAAATTAATATAAAGATGTATTTAAAATTTATGTTAACATTTTATACTATAAAACTACTTATGGTTTTGTGCCTAAAGAAAACCTTTATTATTTAATGCAGGGATTCATAAACTTTTTTTGTCAGCTGAACCCCTTTAACCAAAAATATTTTCTTAAAGTATCCCCTTAGCTTTTCAGTAAATATTTCAATAATTTAACACATATTAATTAATAATCATTTTAATATTTCAGTAATGTAGTTCTCTGATGTCAGTTAATGGTCACATAACATGTAGGGAAACAAATCTTTTTTATTTTATTATTTCGTTAATTTGACATTTTTTAATCATTAATTTAATTTAATTACATTTAAAGGGCTAGTTCACCCAAAAATGAAAATTCTGTCATTAATTACTCACCCTCGTGTCGTTCCAAACCTGTAAGATCTTCGTTCATCTTCGGAACACAAATTTAGATATTTTGGATGAAATTTGAGAGCTTTCTGACCCTCCCATAGACAGCAATACAACTGCACTGTTCCCAGACCCAGAAACGTAGCAATGACATCGGTAAAATAGTCCATGTGACATGACCCAGAACGTAATCAACGTATATTAATGGGGTATATTAATGTGATTGAGGATGTAATTATATTATTTATTATTATTATATTATTTTTTAATAACCCTGTTTAGGAAAGGGACATCATACCTTTCAGAAAATATAATTTGCATCTTAATTTTGCAATGAAGACGTATTTAACAGTACTATATATGTCCATGACAGGGTGGACATATCGAATAGTGGCCCATAATTATCTAAAAAAATGTGTGGGAGCTCAGCTAATATGTTTCTATAGTACTTGAGAGTCTACTATTTATGATATGACATTAAGCAAATAAGAAATTAAAACCAAAAGTTTTGAGTATTGTGAGGGTTGAAAGGCACTCTATGGTGATATTGACCCTTAAATAGTAAATTAAACTACATTTTGATTACTAAATTATGACCTATTTTACTGAAAAACTGAGAATGAAGAACATTATGTTAGTCCCTCATAGCACATGAGATATCTATTTGATGTGCTTGTTTACATCTGAAAGACATTTTTATAGTGTTTTCTCATCTGCAATATGTCTATGTTTCCTGTCAGACGTCAAATAGACACTTATAAAATGTATTTAAGGTGTTTATGATTTAGAAAGTATATAAAATTGACATCTTGCATACTATACAATATATATTGCCTGCAATTTCTTTGACAAACATGTGAAACAATATGCAACATTACGAACAGTAGTATGCGCAATGCTAATAATAGCACATGCCCTCACTAAGTTCACTTTTCATTTTATGGTTAATTTGCACTTTTATTGTACAAAGCCTTGACTTTTCACAGTCAAATCAAATAATGAGTAAAGAAAGAGAGTTAAAAATTACCTGGTTAATATGACTTCCTGTTCATTCATCACATTGGAAATGAAAGATCAAGTCATGTGCACACTGCCACCTAGTGATTCAGCTCTGTGATGCACTTGTCTGCTTGTTTGCAATCTGAAAACCTCTAACCTGTGTGTTCTGACCCCTGTCAGAGAGTCTCTCGCAGGATCTTGGGGAAAATACTGATCAACACACTAGATCTGTGTACTAGAAAAAGCCACGGTAAGCTCTGCCTTTCTGTTTCATTTACATTGTTTTCTTTCATGCAAAACTGCTGGATAAACCCCTGCCTTTCCTTCAGACTGCACTCCGGTGGTTCTGGTGGTGGACACACTGTGCCGGCAGCTCCTCTCCAGTGACCTCCTGGATGGAGGAGAGGAGGTCAGCGTTGGGTCACGACCTTCTGGGACCTCAGGTCACCGAAACACATCCAACCCCCTTCTGATGTCCTGCTGAGATTTTACAGATGTCCTACTTTACATGAGGGTACAAAATTGGTGTTATGTTATTTTTTACTTTTTAAGACATTAATTATTACCAGAGTTATTGTAATAAGAATTATCAAACAAATATTTTTCATTAATTTATAAGAAATAAAGAAGTACCAATATAACAAACAATATTTGGTGCCTAACCAGCTCCTTCTTAATGTAAAATAAATCTGCTGCCCTGATACCCATTGTGGGTTACTTATTTATTTTCCTTTTTAAAAAACGTATTTAAAATTCGTTTATTTAACATTTATTGCTAGAAAATATTAAACACATCACAAATCAGGGGGTTTAAAGCAACTGTATGTACAATTTGTATCTTAAAATATCAATTCCAAAATCAGTTTAATGGTACATTGACTTAAAGCAGCACTATGTAACTTTTGGCGCTCTAGCGGTTAATAAACAGAACTGCACACATCCCGCGGAAGAACATTCCAACCGGAGCTACTTCTCTAAGTTTATGTCTATGGCGATTCACGCAGGTATGTGTTACTCCGCGGCGGTGACAACCCGACCAGGCTACAATAGTCCAAATATAAGAATCAGAATCAGAATCAGCATTAGCTTTATTCACCAGGTGTGCAAACACACGAGGAATTTGTTGTGGTTTTTTAAGGTGCTCCTGGCACATACATACATGCATACATACATACATACATACACATCTGACATGAGAACAGAAAAAAACAAAACAAAAAAACATTTAAATAGTAAAACTTAACAATAAATGTGTATGAATCCGGAACAGTAGATTTATGTACAGATTTGTGCATCATTTACTCTATATAGAACTGTATAAATAAAGAGATATGCATATGTAACATTTAGCAAATTTTGAACACAGAAAAAGTTACATAGTGCTGTTTTAACACAAGGAGAATGGCTTCTGTTTCTTTCCAAACATCGGTTCTGGATAGTTATAGGTATCTAGGTATCTGGATAGTATCTATAGTTTTTACCTTATCTTGGATCAGTTTTATACATTTGTAGATATATTTAATCAGACTTTTGTGTAATTAAAAGGACGAGTAGTAGTTAACAGTCTCTTATTGGCCTGTTAAGCCAAGCCATCCATAAAACAAACAAAACAAGCCCTGAATTGATAAAAGAACACATATTGTACACACACTTCATATTTAATAGTATTAAATGATTCGTTAATTGCATTTAATAGATTATACTTTCAATAAAACATTTTGGGGGGTTTGTAAAAGCTGTTTTTAAGCACGTTTGGTTTGAGTTTTTGTTGCATTTACACGTTCTGGCCAGCAGGCGTCACCAGCGCGTGGTATTTCAGAAGCTTCGAAACAGTGAGTCGTTTTGCAAAGCAATTAGTTCAGTTGATTCAAAGCTTTGTAAAAAAGCTTTGTTTCTCCCATCGCAACAAGTTAGTATGTAGTACAGTAAGCAAGTTTGGTGAGCGGCTACAAAATTCTGTGAAATGGGTGGACTGCTTTACGGCTGCAACAAATGCATGTGTACAGCCGAAGACTTTTAATATACTTTTTAATAGACTTTTATATAACTTTTTAATAGACTTTTATATATATGTGACTTTCCTTGAAAGTACTTTGTTACAGCTGTCCAGCGTTTCCACAACAGTGAATTCCACTCACCTAAACTGTTGGGGCTTCAAGTTCCAAAAATACATATAGTTGCTTTAAACGGTATTCACATGTTCCAAAATTGTGGTAAAGGTTGCAGAAATGTCAAAATTCATATAAAATAAAAGTTAAAAATGAAACCGTTCATATATTATAATTAGGTTCACCTCTTCAAGTGGATAAACATCACTTTCTCACCTTCTTTTAAAAAACAAAGAACTGAATTTAAAAGTGTCAAGCCCTATTTTGTACCCTTTTTGTGAAAAGTGTCTTAAACTGTTCTTCTGTATAGAACATGAGGCCATGTTTTCTCATATCTGAATCCTATTTTTGTGATTTGTCCAATCACATATGTGACCCTGGAGCACAAAACCAGTCTTAAGTCGCTTGGGTATATTTGTAGCAATAGCCAAAAATACATTGTATGGGTCAAAATTAACGATTTTTCTTTTATGCCAAAAATCATTAGAATATTAAGTAAAGATCATGTTCCATGAAGATATTTTGTAAATTTTGTACCGTAAATATATCAAAACTTAATTTTTGATTAGTAATATGCATTGCTAAGAACTTAATTCGGACAACTTTAAAGGCGATTTTCTCAGTATTTTGATTGTTTTGCACCCTCAGATTCCAGATTTTCAAATAGTTGTATCTCGACCAAATGTTGTCATATCCTAACAAATACATCATACATCAATGGAAAGCTTGTTTATTTAGCTTTCAGATGATGTATAAATCTCAATTTCGAAAAATTGACACTTAAGACTGGTTTTGTGGTCCAGGGTCACATATTAGTTTCCTGAAATCTTTCCACTTGTTTCGTGCAAGACATGAATAAGTGCACATTATAAGACACTTTAGAGTTCAGTCTCAGTGTGTGTATATATACAGTACAGTCATTTCCCTGCAAAGCACTTAATCTGAAACATTATACTATCATATGACCCAGTTACAAAATTATTTTTAACATTTATATTTGTGCTATAAAATAATATCTGTATATTTGATAAGATAAAAAAAATACTTTTTTTTTTAGAAAGCATTTATATTTTTGTTCATGTGGAGGTGGATGTGTGACATATCTGAATGTCACAGTAACTCATCTATGATGTCAGTCCATGTGACACGGTGTCACATTTCCATTCTGCGCTGCTACAATGTGTCGCTCACTGAGATGAGGACAAGATCTCTGTAAAGCCGGACATATGAAATAACAGTCAGAAAAAAATCTAAATCTTTAAAATAGAAATACATTTTTTTAAAGTTTGCATTTATATATATATATATATATATATATATGTACTTTAGGCACAAAATGAGCAAAAATATGCAATTTAGTGAAGTTGCTGATATTTATATGGGCAAAAAGTAAGATGTTCTTCTTGAAATATTACTAAAATGTAAAATTTCTTATGTTTACTTTATAAAATTCATTAACGATTTCACAGCAAAAATGAAATATGCTTAAATATGCTGAAAAAAATTTAACATTTTTTGAATTACATTATTTATAGGCCCTGGAAATATGTGTATTAACTATGATACAGAAGTCTTTAGAAGATGGGACTTCTTACTACTTTATAGGTCACATTATGTAATAGAAATAATCATGTATTTTCTAAATGCTGTTCTTTTGTTTAGTGTTGTGAAGGTCCACCCCAAACATCTGTCAGATGACAAAGACCCTCAGTGTGAGTTAGTCTCTGTGTGTCTCATGTGTCAGGCACATTGTGTTCTGATGTGCGGATGAAACTCTTAACAACATTCAATAAGGAAGAGATTTTAGAAAGGTACTTAGACATCTTGAAACGTCCTTCTCCATCCACACAAGCTTTGGCCTCATTGTTCAGCGCAGGTGTTTGTCCCTTATCCGTCAGTCCCTATTATTCCTATACCAATCTGGCTGAGCCGCTGTCACGCTGAGTTATGTGTCTAGATCAGTGGTTCTCAGACCTCTCCATGAAGTACCCCCAGCACTGCACATTTTGTATGTCTCTCTATATCTGACACACCCACTTCAGGTCTTGCAGTCTCCACTAATGAGCTGATGAGTTGAATCAGGTGTGCTAGATGAGGGAGACATACAAAATGCGCAGGGCTGGGGGTACTTCATGGAGAGGTTTGAGAACCACTGGTCTAGATGAAGTCTTCCTCTGCATTATGAATGATAAGAGTGGAACACTGTCTCCAGAATAAAGTCTGATAGTACAGCAACATCGGAGTAACAGGAGTATCCTCCAAATGCAAGGTCATCGGCAATGACGTCAAACTTTCACTTATCAGACATTTATTATCCTGAGAATTCTGAAAAAAAAAGTACCACATTTTCAACACTGCATGATAATAATATTACTTGAGCAGCAAATAAGCATATTAGAATGATTTCTGAAGGATCATGTGACACTGAAGCCTGGAGTAATGATGCTGAAAATTCAGCTTTGCATCACAGGAATAAATTACATTCTATATATATATTTATATATACACATAATAAATATACACAGTACAGACACATTATGTAAACAAAAACTTTTATTTTTACTTTTATTTAATCACGATTAATCGTTTGACAGCACTAATATATATATATATATAAACCCAAAAAAACTGTTAGAATTTAGTTTCATTTTTTAATTATTCAACAGACACATGTGAGTGGTCATATAATTATTAATTTGCAGCGTTTTTGCAGCTCAGTTTCAATAAATGCTGTAGTAAGCAGACATTTTTAGCTATAAAAGCCACAGTATTGATACAATGTACATTTTTATTTCAATCAATTCCATCAATGTCAATGTGATTTTTCCTTATTTACTACCAAGCACGTGTGTCAAATGGAATGAAAACAGAAAAGCACAGGGCAGTCGTACGAAATAATATAATCTTTTATTTCCAGCAATTTACAAGAACCTCTGTTAGGTCCCCTTTACAGTGTCAGATTGAAGCGGCTGGGGCAGAAACTGATGGGGAAGAAATCAAAGAACTCAGATAACCAGTTACCATTACTAGCTGTACACTCTTGGATAATCTGGTAAATTTGCTTTAGTCTTGCTTGAGAGGCTGGGATCTGACCCTCAAGGCCAATTTAACTCAAGGAAGGTTACGTTTTCTTGTAGGAAGTTATAAACAGATTACAGATTAGAATCTCTAGAATTCCCAGATCAGAGGGAATATGTGACAAATCAGACAACCCACAAGTAAATATTAATTTGCTCTAAAACTCATGGGGATCTCAGTGGCTTTGCTTTGGATAACTTTACCACCGATACATCTGCCCTGGAAGAACATAACAGATGGGATGATTTTTGTACGCAAATCAACAGAATACAATATGAAAACCAACTCCATTAATTAAAAAAAATCTCATAGAAAAAAGACGAATCAGAAGACCTATAATACCTACGTGTCGAGCCTTGCTTGTGATTTGTTAAGGCATATTATGCTCAATTCACCGAACCAGATCGAGTGTGAGGTTTTGCTGGATATTAGGCACCAAACTTGGATATATTTGTTAAGAAGAAGAAAAAATGACTGATAAACGTACAGTAAACATCTCTACTGGTCCAATGCAAAGAAAAATGCAACAAAATGAAAAATAAACATTTAAAGAATAAATATATTATTTACAAATAGCTTTGTCACATCTATAGAAATAAATAAACAAAGCCTCCCATCCCCTGAAGAAATATTCACAACTATAGAGAGCTGTCATGGTACAATGGCAGCACCGGATCAGTTACACAGTAATATTTGTGATGTTTGAATGCATAATTGTGGTATAAACATGTCTGCACATTGGAGCTGCATGCTCTCCTTACGGGACCTCTTGTGGCAAACTGTGACATTACAGTACATCTTGTGCACAGTGATCTAACGTGACGTGCTTAAAGGGATAGTTCATCCAAAAATGAAAATTTGATGTTTATCTGCTTACCCCCAGGCATCCAAGATGTAGGTGACTTTCTTTCTTCAGTAGAACACATATGATGTTTTCATTTTTGGATGAACTATCCCTTTAAACGTGCTTACCGCAATAACACTAGAACTCGCCTTAACATACTTCCACAATTAAAGAAAACAGACATTTAAGGACAGAAAATAAAGTGTACAGTAAAAGCAAAGTGGGTGTGTTTAATATATCGTGAATTATATGAAATGTGCGCAAATTAAGCGATGTTTCTACGCAGCCCTTTAGCAATGGCAGGCTAACATTAACACACCGTCCATAACTGGAGGTCAGTTGCTTTATAAGGCCATGCTAGTCGTTAAAATATACATTAATTTACTGTCAACTACTGATTACGAGATTTTTATGACCGAGAACTGAGGTACAGATTAGCTGCTAGCAATCCTGTTAGCCTTTCAAGTGTTTCTGAGTGGCATTAATCTCATAAAAACATTCAAAACGAAACCTCTCTCCTCTTCGGTATGAAAGAAACTCTTTCGAGGAATTTAATCAAGCATGGCTTCAAATCATATTCGGAGAGCCGGTTCAACAGCACTTTTTTTTAGCTAGCATGCAGTGGTACAGAGGTGCAGACATCTAAATAGCCCTTTTTATAAGCATTTTTTTTGCATAATTCTACAGAAATACTTGGGTTGTATTGTAAAAAGGCTTTTGAGGCAGAGCATTTCACATTTCCTGTCAACGGAGCAGGTGCTTTTTACGTTTAAACTAACTGAATTCACCAATTGACTGTTCGCTAAGCTTTGCGTTAAAACAAACAGGCTTAGATATTACAAAATTGGTGTAGGATTGAACAATTTTCTCTCAGAGACTGCCAAATTTCACGAATAATTACGAAGAAATAGCAAGTAGCACACTCAAGTGTGACATTTTGAAGTAAAAAGATTGAAATAGTATTTTTCTTGTAAAACGTACTCCAGTAACCTTTGCTTTATTTCACAGCTTCGAAAAATCATTTTACAGTGTAGATTTAGACTGCCTTTTATTATTCAAAAATATAGCCTATCCATAAGGTAACTGAGCAATGAAACGGGCCTTTTCTCTTTTTAATTGACTGTGATAAGCGTTTTTGCCTCGAGTTTGCAGGCTCTGCATTTTTTTAATCATGTTACTGGGTAATTTAATTTCTTTAAAGGCAGATAAAGTGCTTTGCAATGTATACTTCCTTTCAACTCACATGAGAATAATTTCCTGTTAATTTTGAACACTTTGTGAGCACATTTAACTAAAAATCATAGAAACTCCAGTTCATTCAGGGAGGCGGAGCTTAGCAAAGGGTCAACTGTATATATACTCTATATAATAGAATATTCATTTGTATTTGGAAAGCCTTTAAAAGTACATTGTCAAATATGATTTCTGGTTTGATAAAAAGGGTCCAGACTGCCATTTTCTAACTCACAGCCCTTTTAAAATGACCACTTTGTTAACCATCACTACAAATACAGTGGTGTGAAAAAGTGTTGGCCCCCTTCCTGATTTCTTATTTTTTTGCATGTTTGTCACTTTAATGTTTCAGATCATCAAACAAATTTAAATATTAGTAAAAGATAACACAAGTGAACACAACATGCAGTTTTTAAATGAAGGTTGTTATTATTAAGGGAAAACAAAATCCAAAACTACATGGCCCTGTGTGAATGTGCACTTTGGATGGGTTAAATGCAGAGCACTAATTCCAAGTATGGGTCACCATACTTGGCCACATGTCACGTCAAAACAAAAACAAAACAAAAAAACTAAACAAAAAAAATACACCAGCAAGTCCACCTCTGAATGGCTGAAGAAAAACAAAATGAAGACTTTGGAGTGGCCTAGTCAAAGTCCTGACCTGAATCCTATTGAGATGCTGTGGCATGACCTTAAAAAGGCGGTTCATGCTCGAAAACCCTCCAATGTGGCTGAATTACAACAATTCTGCATAGATGAGTGGACCAGAATTCCTCCACAGCGCTGTAACAGACTCATTGCAAGTTATCGCAAACGCTTGATTGCAGTTGTTGCTGCTAAGGGTGGCCCAACCAGTTATTAGGTTTAGGGGCCAAACACTTGTTCACACAGGGCCATGTAGTTTTGGATTTTGTTTTCCCTTAATAATAAAAACCTTCATTTAAAAGCTGCATGTTGTGTTCACTTGTGTTACCTTTTACTAGTGTTTAAAGTGTGACAAACATGCAAAAAAATAAGAAATCAGGAAGGGGGCCAACACTTTTTCACACCACTGTACATGAACTGTCCCAGTATTTTGAGTCCACAGATGAGATTTTGGAGATTATCGGATGTGGACTTCACAATAATGGCCTGAGAAGCTTAAAACAATCTTACGGGCCTTTGACTGGGTTAAACGGTTGTGTATGTAACGGAAATGTACCTACGCAAATGAGGCAAAGTCTGATATTTGATCCTTTAGGTGTTGAGCGTAAACAACCCATGAACCCTTTTCATTGCACAACTTGAGTATTTCAGGGATTTCTATGAAACAATAAAGCACTTTAGGTTACTATCTCTCTCTGTAACCATAAGCAGAGCTACTAAAGCAAATTTAGATCCTGAAAACGTAGCATTGCGTGTTAAATAGGGCTGTTTTCTATGCGTTTTACTGTATAGATGTTTTATCGTCAAAAGGTCCCCTTTGAGATTCAGTCTCTGCTATTAAGACTTAAGTGATTCTTTCAATCTCTAGCCTGAAATGTTATTTAGGTCACTCTGTGATGGTCCAAATATGTTTATTTTTTGTTTGTATTTGGCAAAGGCTGTGAGTGCCACCATCAAATCACTGTTTTGTAGCACTTGGTGATTTAGCATTATATGTTCGTTTGCCTCTTGTGAAATATTTCAAGTTTAGGTCGATGTCATCTTTACATGCAGCCAACGTGACTGGCTGTAAAATCGGGCCGAACATCCCCATTGAAAAATAATGAGGATTGTTGTTCTCCCATTAGCTAAACAACAAGGAAATTACATATCAATACTAAAGCAAAATTGTCATCAATATAATCATGGTAGCCATTGTAGCCATAACAATATAGATATTATTTCTCTATGTGGCATTATAAATAAAGACGTTTGTGTTGCTTGGACAGAGTCAAAGGAAGCAGTGTGGATCAATCACCCACATCTGTGTCCCGATCTCCAATTAGCCACAGGATGTGGAAACACAGAGCCAGGAAGCCCGTCCCCAGCAGGTCTCCCAGGGCGGTCAAGTAGGGAATGGAGAAGTTGTCAGGATCCATCCCTCGATGCCACATCCAGTTTACCATCCAGTCTGCAAGGTACAACAGGATCACAACCTAGATGGAAAGACAAGAGAATGTGTCAACGGACGGAAAATAATGGACTGATTGATTATTAAATATATGCATATTTTTGAACATATTTTAATAAATAAATAAATCTGTTTTGTGTCTGATATACACCATTTCAAATTTTGGGGTTAGTAATTATTTATTTAATGTTTTTGCATTTATTTGACCAAAAAATGCAGTAAGATTGTGAAATATTACATTTAAAGCAACTGTTTTCTATAATAAAATATTTTGAATTGATTCCTGTGATTTTCAGCATCATCACTCCTCATCATCATTCTAATATGATGATTTGCTGCTCAGGAAACATTTCTGAATATCATCAATGTTGAAAACAGGTGTGCTGCTTATTTATTTATTTTATGGAAACTGTTTTTTTAAGGATTTTTTGGTGAATAGAAAGTTCAAAAGCAGAATTTAGGTGAGTTAACTCTCCTTGCTGAATAAAAGGATATCATTTTAAAATCTTACTGACCTTAAACTTTTGAACGGTGATGTATTTGTAAAGTGAATTCAATTTTTTCATGATAGTAATGAGAATTTAATGTCACAATGCAAAAAAAGTCTTAAAATATATAATAATATATTATAAAAAATATATAAAATATGTTCCTCATGCAAAGTATAATTTCTTAATTATTTTCTTTTTGAAACATGACCCAGACTTTTTTTTTTCCACACAATTCACTCAAACTTCCCTCATGTAGGTCAGAAACACTATAAAACATTTGAAGCATTTCCTTGTAATTTGAAACAGAAGCTCAGGTATACCTGAAGCAGAGCTGCGGCCAGATAAAATGCAATGAAGACAGAGGTGAGAGTGGTGTGTCCACCCTGCATAGAGTTAATAGTGTAGAGGAAGACCAGATGACCAGGAGCCACCAGGAGGAAGAGCACTCTGGCAGAACGTGCGTTGACACCTGATGAGAGAGTAAATCTAGGGCGAGTCAGTTTAAGCACTGTTACAGGAGCATAACTGAAGTCATTAGCTATGCTTCCATCCAAAGTTTCGAATTAAACTTATGTGCAAAATTGGAATATTGCATAAAACTTTCGCGAATAAAGCACCATTTCCATCCAGTGAGTTGAAGAGAACAAAATCGTCACTTCCTGATTAAAGAAAAGAAAAATGAAATTTGCTGCAGTAGAAGGCACTGTATATAATAATTTTTGTATACAATAAATTACGAGCTTCAGAGTGTGCAGATGATTCGGAGTTCTGGGAGTTAATTATAACACTTTGACGAGATTTTGCTCAAGCATTTTAGAATGACAAAACTAGCATTTCAGATGCTGTGCAATGAGATCGGTCTGTTGATTAGTCCAGTTTTATGCTGTCCCATCGCAAAGTCACATGTCTTTTTTGATGCGCATTAAGGAATTTATTTGGTAAAAGTGTTTCCATCGTAGTTTATGCGCATGTTTTCTTACCGGATAAGAAATTTGTCCTACTAAGTTGAGCGCAAAAGTTTTTTTAATGCACATCTTGGCGTTTCCAACCAGCGTTTTTTTATGCGATATCCCAAAATGCGCATAATAATATGCACATTTTTAGAATTTATGTGCATCTTGGCGTTTCCATCCAGGGTTTTTTATGCGATACCCCAAAATGCGTATAAAAAAAAGATGGATGGAACCATAGCTATTGAGACCCAATACAGGGAAATATGTAACTATCAATATTTAGTGATTACGTCTTTGCTAACAATAGGGCTACTGTTTGTTTACATCGCTCACCTGAGCCAAAGAACGTGCTCCAGGGAGTGGGACATTTCCGTGGGGCTGGGTTTGGCTCTGCTATGGGCAAGGCGTTCATGTGCAGGTAGGTGGAGATTCGACTGGCTTGAACCGCCACCAAATTGCCGCCCACACCTGCAGCAAGTCAAAACAAACAAAGTGTGCAATGATCTCAGGTGTGTCATAGTGAGGGCTAGTAAACACAACCAATGGAAACACTGAATCATGAGATACGAGGAGATAAGGAGTCTCACCGTTGATGACGGGAGTGAAAACTGCCATTCCAGCAAAGTTGGGGTTAGATACTGTCTTATCCAGAATGAGGCCTCCAACACTGTTTCAAAAGAAGTCAAATCTAATTTTTACGACACAAAGATTACTGCATCTGTGGTGTCAGGTGAATGATTGACATACTGCTGTCAGCCGCACGTGAGTAATCCATCCATCATAAAGAGGAATGAGGAAATCGAGCATCTTTCTGTTAATCAGTGTTCTTCCTACCTGCTGATCGCCATGGCTATAATGACAGGCTCCCAGCCTGAGTACAGCACTTCCCGGGTGGAAGGTGTCCGCCGGGCGATAAGTACCCAGATGGGTGTCAGGGCGACGAAGAAGGCACAAACCATTGGGTTGGCATAATCGTTGAATTCTGTAAGGAAAAAAATGACATTTATTGACAAATTGAATACATTTTCATAAGTTATAAATGATACATATACACCTATATGTGGCTAAATACTGTAAATATATACAGTATTATGTATAATGGTTATATATATATATATATATATATATATATATATATATATAGAGACTGAATTGTCATGAACAACACATTTAAAGGAAGACCTGTGGAATTCATCACCAGTTCATACAGTTTTAAAACCAAAGCCTGTTGAGAAATAATCACATACAACATTCTTTTGGGTGCAATTTTACACCCGGATTCTGGAGAAGTTGGGTAAGATGAAAGCTTGGTTGACCTACTATTTTTACTTTGGCCGTTGCTTGTTTATATCCAGATAGTTTGGTCTGTGAGGTTTGATAAGTCATAAACATGCAATTAATCTTTACCATAAATGTTTCCATCCGCACACTCTCATTTTACAATTGTTCACCGCACATCAAAACAGCAAGGTGCTGCCACAAGAATGCTCTAACAATAAATGTGCTCTTGTGTTGTTTCATTGCAAAGCACAATCTAAACTAGAATATTTGCTCCCACTTGTTGTCTTGTTGTCTCTTTATGGAGTCTAAAGGGAGAGACTGCAGAGTCTAATAGGTGCACCAAAGAAACTCACAAAGCAAGTGGTGTTCACAAGCTCCAACATGCCCCAACATGCTCCGCTATGCTCTAACATGACTCAGCATGATGACTTAGGGAAATCTGACTGAATGTATTACTCGTGAGAATCAAAAGTACACAAAACCCACGATAACCCTCAACAGAAGAAACGGTCAAGTGTACTGTTTTATATTTGAATATATTTTAAAATGTAATTTATTCCTGTGATGCAAAGCTGAATTTACAGCATCATTACTCCAGTCTTTAGTGTCACATGATCCTTCAGAAATCATTCCAATATGCTGATTTGCTGCTCAAGAATTATTATCAGTATTGAAAAGAGTTGTGCTGCTTGATATTTTTGTGGAAATCGATAGATTTTTTCAGGATTCTTTGATGGCTAGAAAGTTATTTGAAATATAAATTTTGTAATTGAAATGTCTTTACTGTCACTTCTGATCAATGTAATGCATCTTTAATGAATTAAAGTATTAATTTAGTAAAAAAACTAAATCAGACCCAAAACCTTTAAATGGTAGTGTAAATATAAATATAATGTACATATAATGTGCACATATAAACATACGTATACATACTTATGCTTATTCTTGGACACTCTTCTATTACACTTGCACTTTCTTCTTCTGGATTTTTGTCGAAAAAAGTAAAGTTAATCTTCTTTTTAAATCACCAAGCAAAGGTTGAGATGCCATTTTCTCCCGGACTGTGGCAGTTACTCTGCAGAAGTTTTATGATACAGACAGTGCCAAAATGTGGCTAATTAAAGAAGAAACTGACTTTTGATATCTTCAGTTAAGACATGCAAATGTTTCATTTCAGGAGCTGCCAAGATAGTTTCTTATTCCTCCACTGAACTAGACTCAGAAACAGAGGAAAGATAATTACGTTTCTAGGCCATTCAGTTCATAAGTTATCCACTAAAATGTAAGCGAATCTACAAACTTTAGTGTGCCTGCTCATATATCTGCTTGCACTTGGATCACAAAATGCACTGACAGTAGATATCTGATTACGGCAATGTTCCCAAAGAGCTCAGCCAAATAACAGGTGTTCACTCACCGAGCTCCTTATACAGGCCAGTACTGATGCCAGCCAACAGTGCCAGGGTGATCAGGTCACCGAGGCTGGCTGCAATGGGGGTGGCCACATTGTCTGGGTTGATACCAACTTTCCTGGATGCAATGATAACCCCGATCATGATAAGACCTGGGCGGAAGAGGAGAGGAAAGATTTGTCTAGTTAGCGTTGATATGGTGGAATTAACACAGGAGATTGTGTCAATCCCAAACAATGAAGACTACATTCTTCGTTTTTGATACCTCCTGTTTGGAGGATATATTTCCACTCTAGTGCTGAAATGAGACCTCAGAGCTGCTTTGTCTTTCCAGGTTCAAAAGCAAGCATTAGCTGCTACTCACCTCAGCTAGTACGTTTCTTTTTAGGGTGTCATAACATTTCAAAACTCTACATGGATAATATGACAGATATTTTTTTAAAAGTAACACTGCAATACAATACATATTGTAGAAACATTAATGTATATATATATATATATATATACATACACACGCACACACACACACACACACACATCATCAGAGCAGTGCTGACAACACGTTTCTGTGCGCGTGTGTTTCCGTGTGTGCAAGTGTAACCGGACTGTATGTGTGTGCAGTGGTGTATTGGTGCCTGGAGAAGTGGGTATACTCTTAATTTATGCCCCAATTTTTTTTAAAGCGACCCAGCAAAGGATGAACACCATGTGTTATAAACAGTGACGTGTAAAACTAGTCTTGTATATTTAGTTGTATATTTAGATGTCACGACCCTCTCACCTAGCAGCAAAGAAGCGATGAATGCGGTGGCCACACTGCTGGCACAGAGCAAGACAGCATGGCCCATCTTAAAATTACCCTCTGGAATCCAGCCAAAAATGACTGCAGCGATGGAAGCCAGGAAGCCGACCACTGTGGCCTGAACCTGAAATCAGGAGGGGCACGATGAACTCGGACACCTCTTTTAAACATCCTCCCACCCTCCTGAATGTCAAAGTCTTCATGTCAAGTTTACTTTGTTCTCTTTCATCATTGGTGTACTGTACACATGCCATTATTGGGTTTAGGGGTCATTTCCAAGAAATACATCACCCAATCATTACATAATTGTTTAGTCAAGCATGCAATCTGGAGAAGTCAATCCTCATATGACATGTGACTCGGTGCCAATGATTGGCGCACACATTGCACACATATCTGACAAATATTTAGGAATGACCATCCCGACTGTAAAGGGTGAAATCTGATCTGTTTCTTCTAAAACTGCTGACTCGTTCATTAATTTAACATGCACTGCATAGCGAATGTTATATAGTTCACTACATAAGGAAAGATTGTGAAAAATATGCATTTGGACACAGCTTCAGTCAATACCACACACTGTGTATAATGTTCAGTGTTAACTAAAACTATTAAAAATAATTTTCTGTAAATTAAAGCTGAAATAAAATGTAAATGTTAGAAAAAATAAACTTAAATGAAAATTTAAAATACTGACTTGAAAACTAACTGAAATACGTTTCAGTTTAAATATTAATTATTTTAATATATTTTTTTTAAAAACTAATAAAAATGACAAAACCACATAACAAAATGACTAAAATGTAAACTAAAATTAAAATGAAATGGAAATCGGCAGCGATAGCCTCGTGGCCAGTGCACCGACATACAGCACCACTGTGCTACAGGTGTCCTGAGTTTGAATCCCGACTCGAGGACCTTTCCTAATCCCACCCCTATCTCTCTACCACTTCGCTGCCTGTCAGTTCTGATCTGTCCTATCATAATAAAAAGGTGAAAATGTCAAAAATAAATCTTTAAAAAAAAAGAAGAAAACGGAAATATAAAAATAAAAGTGAATTCAAAATATTACTTAATAGTTATAAATTGTACTAAAATAACACTCCTGACATTACATATGTGTTGTGTCACAAAAATCTGACACATTAAAAGATTAATAATTTACTCAGATTTTAAAATTTTAAACTTCATATGTGGTATGTAAACATCGGATTATATATTCTTATTTGCTTATTTCACAATCAGATTTGCCAAATAACCAGATTTTCGCTGCTTGTCTGAACAAAGCCTTGTGAACTGAAGAGTTGGCATGTACATTAGACAAACAGGATTGATATTTTTAGAAGGTTACCAACCTGAATTAGTGCGAGGTTTCCCATGATCATTTTCCACATATCCTTGGCCGTATCCATTTGTCCAATATTAGCCTGGGGAGGGGGGGGCGGAAGAGAGAACACAGGAAGTCCATTTACAAATGTTTCCATTATAGTTTAACCACTGCACACTTGCCTCTGAGTGAACAACACCGTTCTCGCTTAAGAGTTTAGATGCATGTTTTTTTTGATCGTACAGCGGATCGCTCAGAAAAGCTGCATGGTTAGAGGAATCATTCATAGCACGAATGGTGTAGGATGGGTTGCGTGCTAAAACGGAATACTTTGGGTATACAAAAGCCTAATAATATCATAGTTAAACATTTCATGATCCAATCAAATTTCAGTGGATAAAACAAATCTCCATCCTACATTATTTCCCACTGGATATTCTGTTTCACTCTGAAATACACAAAGTACACTGCAGGAGATATTTCATGTTGTCTTCAAGAACCACAAAACAGCAAGTAGTGCTGATAGGATCATCATTAATCTGTGATCTTTCCATGAAAATGAAACATACATGGTAGGAAACATACATTTGCTGGTGCTCAGGCGCTTTTGGTTCAGCTTCCACTAGAACAAACAGTGGTCAGTTCACAAGACAAAAGAGGGTTTGATGAGCTGGACAGATGCATCTTATCCTACTCTCCCTACTTATCTCATCTCTCTCAGTACAGACACTAATGTCAAGTGGCTCCGGCCCAACAGAAGCTTTCTGTATCATGGGACGAGGCCTTTCCTGACCTGGACCCACTCAGATGGGACAAAACTACCTGCCTCAGGAGGTAGGTTTGTGTCCTAGGAAACAAACCCCCAAAAAAACCTATGAAAACAAAATGTTTTCTGGATATTAACTCATTAAGGTTATCAGTATGATAGTATACTTATAAAGTTGACGTAAATGCTAATAAAACAGCATATAACAAATCATGGGCTATTGCAGTGTAATATTAGCATACTGAGTGCTATAGTGGAGGGTTATTATAGTTAACTAAACCTAAAACTAAAACCATTTAAAAACATTTTTGTTTGAAATAAAATAAACGTTAAATGAAGTAATATATATATATATATATCTATATATATATATAT